AAGCAGGAGTGACTGCTCGCTTGAACTTGAGGCTCCTTGTTCCTATCTTCTGGGCCCATGCTGCTGTCCACCTTTTGGTGGGATCAAGCCAGGTATATCATGAAGCTGCTTTGTGGACTGTGATACAGTCCTTGACCTGGGCAAGCCTGCTCTGCTTGGTCAAAGTGTGGCTCCTCCTTTTGGGAGACCCTTAGGCTGTAAGACAGCAGATGTTACTGAGTGGGATTGAATGGTAGCAGTATCTAGCAGAAAGTGTTTTGGGTTTACGTCAGCTCTGCCATTGACTGGTGGTAGCATGTCAGGTATACAGGAAACCTCTCAGCCCTCCTTGCCTAGCTTCTATATCTGAAATCAAGATGATTATCTAGTTTGCAAGACTTTGGTGAGGATGAGATGGTAGAAATGGAAGATTTTTGGAAATGTAAATGGTGGTTGGCTTAGTTCCCAAAAAAGCAGTGCCTGAGGCAGAGCTTAAGTGCTTAATGCCTTACTGGAAGGTGCAGGGCAGCAAGGGTAAGGGAAGATTAACCAGAGGGAGGGAAGGATGGAAGCAAGCTGGCCAATTTGCACAGAGACACAGTCATTGTTCAGCTGTGCCAAATATCCCTGGGTGATCTCTACAGAAACTCCATGCTGCAGAATAGTTTGTCATCCAAAGCCTGAAGAGGGAATTCATCTGCTGACCTCCTTCTGTGTTCTGTCTTCATTGGTCAGAGTGGCCTCATAAGAGTTCTCTCCCTGCGGCTCCTTGGTTGCACTACCAGGGCCCTCCAGCAGCCACTGGGGAGGCCAGTGTGGCACTTCTGTGGTGTGTGGAAGTAGGAGGAGGAGCCAGAGATTTGGGGCCTGCACAGTCGCCTTCACTGGGTCTGAGGCCCAGCAAGAGACCCAGGGTCCAGGAGACTGGTGAGGCCAAGAGAGTGTGAGGTGGTGCATCAGAAGCATCCTGTGTAGTGCTGTGTGGGTCTTGTCCTTGTGTGTAGTTGCTTATGAGTTAGTCTCACTTAGACTGCCAAGTCTCTGCCAAGACCCTGACTGAAGATCCAATTTGGTCTTTGCATGTTGATTTTTACAGCCTTCTCTGCTACTTCACTGCCTGGTTATTGAAGCAGGAGGCTTTGTAGTTTTGATGGTACCCAGGTGGGAAGTATAAATCAACATGTTCATATACCTGATAGTGAAGTACAAGTATGGATATAGATGAACATCTGGGTTTCAATGAAGAAAATCCTCAGCGAAGAATATTTTCCATGAAAAGTAGCATCTGAGGCTGGGAAACCTAGAGTCATGAGATGGGACTGGAGTGGGCTGTAGGGCCATGTCGTACAAAGTCAAAAAGACCCTGGGGATCAAGGAGTTTGGACTTTATCCTAAGAGCAGTGGAGAGAAAGACCACAAGAGGAGCTGCAGTAAGCTATGCTGGATACTTTGTAGAGCAGAGGTTGGTAGGAGTTGGGGGGTGGGGTGGCGGTGCACCAGATGTGATGACAGTGAGTGTAGGTAGGAACCAGGATGGCTGCGGGAGGGAATTGGAGGTGGCTCAGACCACGGTGATGACTGAGGCCTCACGTTGGGTGAGGAGAGAAGGGTGCTTCTCAACCTTCTGGGGAAGTCAGCTTCTGGGCCTATTGGACATCTGTATGCTTAAGTGCCGGGGCCTCCCTGAGCTTCTGCACAGCTCACAGGTCCTCTTGACTCTGCCATCCCAGAGTTGGCCACACCACTGGGAGGCAGGACCACTGGGGGGCGCATTTTGCTCCTTCACAGAAGGCAGGCAGCTTCTTGATTAGTGCCTGGTAAGACTTGCTTGTACTCAGCAAACCCATGTTCTGTCTCTAGGCTGTTAAATACATTGTTAAAATTCAAGCTGTTGCATTTGGGTTGCAGCTGCGAGCTTGGCAGAGGTTCATGCCTGATGAGGTAAGGGGAGAAGCTAAGGACTCTGCTGGTTTGCAGCTGGAAACCTCTTTTCATGGCCATTTGGCCAGATTGTAAATGTCCTTTCCAAAGAGCAGGCTTGTTGGGGCCTCTGATTGTATGTCTTGGAATTGCCCTGTGCTTAGAAACAGTGCTGGTCACCTGGTGAGTGAATCACTGTCACTGGGGTGTTGGTAGGCTTTGGAGGATCTACCTGTGGGGGTCCAAACTTGGGACTTCATATGCATACAGTGTCCATTCTTAAACAATCCATAACAATCCATTGTGTGGGAAAAAATGTAAAATCTTGTGATATTGTTTCTGACTTAAACAAGTCTGTGGCAAAGCATTATTTGTTGGGTGCCTGATTTGGGCCAGACGTGTTCTAAACTCAGGGTGCAACACACATAAAATTGCATATTGGTTTTCTCCTCAGGCTCGGGTGCCACTTTGTTTTTTGTTTTTTTCTAAAAGGAGGTTTGACATTGCCCATTTCCAGGACTATTCAGCGTGGATTTCTGAGTGTTCCTGGAAAGGCTTTTGGGAGCACTGGACACTTTGTGGGGGCACTGGGCATGCACACACATTCCCACCTACTGTATCCTATCAAGCTTTGGGTGTGGGTATGAGATCAGATTGAAGGGCAGGCAAGTAGGTGGTTGGCCTTTCCCACACTCTGGGACAGTCCTTCTTGGATGCTGCTTCTTCCCAACCTGACCCTAGTTAGTATCTTTTTTAGTACAAAGTGTTTAGTGTTCAGGGCCAGGATCAAGAGAAGTGTTGGGGCTCTAGGGTACCGCTGCCTGAGGTGGTAATGTTGGTTTTGGCAGTCTAGGGGCTGCTTGGGAGTAACTGGCTCTCTGACCAGTGGAGTCATCTTGCTCTCCTCCATCACAGCAGGACTTTGCAAGCGCTTAGCAAGCCATTTCCCAGAACCCCATTTGAGATTCTGTGGGGCTCTGCCTCCAGGCTGGTATTTGTGGATGGGCTCAGTCTAAGCCGGATAGTGCATTCCAGAGAAATGACTGCTGGAATTCATGTAATGAAGGAACCTGGCTGCTTTTTGCTGAGTGCTGTAAGGCATGAACCATGGACTGGATCACCAGGGTGATTTGAAAGGAAAGGAGAGGCATCTCCCTCCCTTGAACTTGTTACCCGATCTCTGAAGAGATATGCCACTGCAGCTGGTGACACAACAGGGGGAAAGCGCTGGGCTCCCCCACTTCTGGCCGTGTCTGGTCTGGTGTCTTGCCTGGGCCCTGGTCTCCCACCACCCCATCCTGACAAGGCAGTTGGCTGGTCTCTCACTGTCCACAGATAACAGCCTCTTGGCCCTGAATTTTACTGTTCCTTCTTTTCACCTACAGAAGGTGCTTTCCTGAGCTAGTTAAGCCTCTTGAGGTATAAGGAACAGACACTACTCCCTATACAGGGGGCTCGTGTGAACAAGAAGAGAGGCTTTCAGAAATCCTGGGGTGGTGATGCAGCATGGTGAGGCCTGAGAGGAGATGTGTGGCTGGAACACGGAGCGCCTGGGCTCCACCTGAGGTCTGACGGCCTGCTCACCTTCTCTCAGTGACTTGCTCTCCTCTGCTGCCCTAACTCCATAAATTGGTCCTTTAGCCCAATACCCTGCAGCAGGTTCTGGCCTAAAAGATCTTGCTCTGTGTATCTCCTGGTCCCCAATATCGAGGGCACTGATGGGCATGCTCATAGCTCTGCAGACATTTAGCAGGGACATGAACAAATGCGGCCATTTACTTATTCACTCCTCTTAATAGAGGAACTGTTTTAGGGGTAGGGATTGTGGTTGGGCCTCTTTGAGCCTAACCTGGAACTATAGTAGATTGGAGTTTCTTCTGAGGTAAGGAATGATAGTCTTGGCTGTGTGTGTCTGATCGACCATAGCAGGCAAAACCCTGATGAACTAGCATTAGCTCAGACTTGGAATTCAGTCAGGTAAGGCTTACGTTTTTGGGGGGAAGCATTTGTATTTTCTTCATTTTCCTTGTTTTCTCTTAGTACATTTCTGGGGGGTTTGGCTGAAGTAGAGCAGGAAGAGAAGGGGCTGGCAGAGTGGGGACTCAGATGGGAGCTGGTCCTTCAGCATGCTCTGGGCTGCGTGGCTGAGCTGGAAGACCATGTCCAAAGCTTCTGTTGTATACTTAGGTTCACTGCCAGTGGAGCTTGCCCCATGTTGTGCCTGCTGCCTTCACAGCTGAATTGCGCTATTTCGAGGCTGACTAGAAGACAGAAGCTGATCTCACACCATGTCAGCTGCCTAGCCTAGCCCAGAGCTTTGGATTTGTGTGGATGGTTCATTTTTGTATCCCTGGTGCCTAGCTTAGTGGGTAGCCCGTGTGGATCTTCAGTAAATATTTGTGAATGTGACGTGCCAGTGGGGATGGTGTCTGGTGAGGTGGCAGACAGGAAGAGTGGTGTCTGCCCAAAGTGCCTGCTTCCCAGACTGCGTCTGCTGTGGCCAGGTGCACACTGTCAAGGGGAGTGGTTTTATCCCCCTGCTGGCCAACAGCTGCTCTATGCCTCGTTTCGGATAAGGGCTCCCTGCTGCATACTGTGTCAAGTTCTCTCCCTGTTTCTCGTGTACTTTCAGTCTTCTTGTGTGCCGAAGTTACCTGTGTGTCCCCAGCACCCGGCACCATCCTGACACACGTGTTGGAGAGAAAGACAAATAAGTCAAGCAGGCTGTGAAATGACAAGTTGTGGGTCAGAATCTTGGACTGATAAGCTATTAGAATCAGAGGTGACTGCCTCCCACACAATTCAGCCTTTCCATGTTGCCTTTAGATACCAGGAATCTAGAGGGCAGGGTCTCTCCCAAGGGTGCATGGCCTCCCAGAGCAGGGAGCATTGAGCACACATCCCTCGTTGTACACCTTGGCCTCGTTGCACTGCTGATTCTGAATATCCTCAGTTTCTATGTACTAGGTCAGAGTTTTGGCATGTTTGGCAATGTCTGTCTGTGTGCACATGTGTAAGTATCTCTCACCTAAGTTACGTTTTTCAACTGTTGATCCAACAGCTGTCACTTGAATGCCTTGCAGACACTACTCTCTGTGACCATGAAACACTGGGTGTCCACATTGCTCGTGGCCTGGTTTGCTGTCCTGGGCCGTGTGCAGGCTGAATTCTTCACTTCCATTGGTATGTGCCAACAGGACTGTTGTCTCCCTGAGCAATCCTTGGCTCAAGTGCCAGGGAATATCACCACCTAAGTCCTGTTCTTACTCAAGATGGGATGGCTCACCCACTGATTTTGAACAGTTCAGGGGAAAGTGGAGCTTGTGGAGCTGCCGTTTCCCCTTCTGAGGCCCTGGTGACCTGAATGTCCTTCCTAGGAGCTAGCTGTCTCAACTGGGTCTCCTCCCTGAAAATTGCAGGCTGCTCATGGGTTTCCTGGCCTTTCTGACCATCTTTCCCCAGGGTCAGAGAGTGGTTCTGAGCAGAGAACCCTTAGGATGTCCATGCCCTGGTGACAGGATCCAGCCGGTGGCAATAGGAGAATGAGATTTGGGGCTTCTTCCTGAAGGCATTCCCAGTGCGCTTATCTCACTGGCCCCTTAGAGCCTCCGCCTCTTTCTTACAGAAACTGGGGGCCAGGACCCTGTGAGTGCCTATGTCCCCTTTAACTTCCACGTCCCAGTGATCCCATGAGAGTTGACATGATGGTGGCCCAGAGGACATACTTCTGTGCTGGTGTTCTGTGCCCCAAGGAAGGAGGCTGGATGCCTCTCATCTGTTTCTTACTGGTTCTGCCTTTTTTCTTTCTCTGCAGGGCACATGACCGACTTGATTTATGCAGAGAAGGACCTGGTACAGTCTCTGAAGGAGTACATCCTTGTGGAAGAAGCCAAACTCTCAAAGGTTAAGAGGTATCTGATGTCCTAAATCCTTACCCTCACCCCCCCCCATAACCCCCCTAGGGTGCACATAAGAGGAAGCCCTTGAGAGAACGGTGAGGAGCTGGCCTGGAGGCTACTTCATGCCAGTCCTCTGGAGTGACTCAGTGCTTGGGTTAAGGACTCCCTGCTTTTCCCTTTCTATTTAAGAGCCTTTTTACATACATTGGTGTACCCATCCCTTGTCTAGATTAAGGGGCTTGCAAGTGTTAGTGAGGAATTGCTGTTTTCATTTTCTGTTGCCTCTTGAAGGGTCCTGAATCTCACCGGAGAAATTGCCATAGGTTGAGACCTGTGTGAGTGGGCGTGTTAGTCTTCCTTTTGTTTTGTTTCCTCAGCTGGGCGGACAAAATGGAAGCCTTGACCAGCAAATCAGCCGCTGACCCTGAAGGCTACTTGGCCCACCCTGTAAATGCCTATAAATTGGTGAAGCGGCTGAACACAGACTGGCCTGCGCTGGAGGACCTTGTCCTGCAGGACTCAGCCGCAGGTGAGGGACGGTGAACGTGTACTGGGTGGGCCATTATGTCTGGGGAGTGTGTATCTGAGCCTGTCCTGGGTCTGAGGGTGTTGATGGGCATGTGCAGTACGTGAACATGTAGTCCTGTGTTCTCTGCTCGTCCACCTTCTGTGGTGCACAGAACCCTCTGGCCTTCTCCCTTCTCTGTGCAGACCTATCAGTTGGCTGTCCTTGTTTTTAATATGTAATGTAATTAGGTCTTGCCTTTTCCTGCATTTTCATTTCCTTTTCGGGGGTACTTTTTTAAATCATGCTTTAGTAATATGTTTTCATAGAAAAATTAGAAAACAAAATAATCATGTAAGAAAATTAGAATTCTTTTTTTTTTTATTTTTTAAATCTTTATTTATTTTTGAGAGAGAGAGAGAGACAGAGCATGAGCAGGGGAGGGGCAGCGAGAGAGGGAGATGGAGAATCCAAAGCAGGCTCCAGGCTCTGAGCTGTGAGCACAGAGCCAGATGTGGGGCTCGAACCCACAGACAGTGAGATCGTGACCTGAGCTGAAGTTGGATGCCCAACCGACTGAACCAACCAGATGCCCAAAGAAAATTAAAATTCTTAATCTAGCTGGTTGGTGATAAGCACTATTAAAATTATAGTCTTCCAGGGTGCCTGAGTGGCTTGGTCATTTAAGTGTCCAACTTAGGCTCAGGTCATCATCTTGCAGTTTGTGAGTTTGAGCCCTGTGTCGGGCTGTGTGCTGACAGCTCAGAGCCTGGAGCCTGCCTCAGAATCTGTGTCTCCCTCTCTCTCCACCCCTTCCCCACTCACACTCTGTATCTCTCTCTTTCAAAAATAAATAAACATTTAAAAAATTTAAAAAAATTTTTTTCGGTCTTCCTACAGTTAGATTTACATAAAAAAAAAATGGACCCATACATATATTCCAGGGGATGCAAACTTATTTGCTTTGAGGGACCAAATGAATTAACAAAAGTGAGTTAAGTGGACTGGGTAGTGGGGCCAGCATAAGCTAGGGATCATGGGCCTCATCTAAATCCATTTCCATTCATATATTTTAGAAACAAAACATATCCAGGAGCACCTGGGTGGTTCATTCAGTTCAGTATCTGACTCTTGGTTTTAGCTCAGGTCGTGATCTCATGACGGTTTCAGGAGTTCGAGCCCCACATTAGATTCTACATTGGTAGCGCAGAGCATGCTTGGGATTCTCTCTCTCCCTCCCCCACCTTCACTGTCTCTGTCTCTCTTAAAATAAATAAACTTAAAAGAAAAGAAATGTATCTGTAGGCAGATTTGTGCCGTAAGCGTATAGTGTTTTTCTGATTTTTCAGTTTCTCTCTATATACATTAAATGTTATATGACATGGTTTTATGTATTTTTATTTTTTTTTAAATGTTTATTGATTTATTTTTTGAGAGAGAGATACAGAGCGTGAGTGGAGATGGGGCAGATAGAGAAGGACACATAGAATCCAAAGCAGGCTCCAGGCTCTGAGCTGTCAGCACACAGCCTGACGCAGGGCTCGAACTCACAAACTGCAAGATCGTGACCTGAGCTGAAGTCGGACGCTTAACCAACTGAGCCACTCATGTGCCCCAAGTTATAAAACATGATTTTAATGTCTGGACAGTAATAAGTGAAACTGATCTAGTGTAAAACTGGTCTAGTCAGTGGAAGTGGGATTGTTTCCAAATTACCAGCAATCGTGCACGTACATCTTTGTGCCTATCTCTGATTATTTTCTTAGGATAGATTCTTAGAAGTGGTTTTTGCAGGTCAGAGTCTGACTTTTCTTAAAGCTGTAACTATGCTTAGTGTTTTTTACTATGCTGGTATTTTCTGTGCTCTAACATTTTCCTCTCAGCAGGAGATGGTGGGGCAGGCACGGATGTGGGCCCCCCTGACTTTAGCCCAGAGCTTAGCCTCCTGGACTCACTGCCTCTTCTCCCTGAGTTGGGAGTGCTGATTAACTTCAGACTGGTTGTCTCTGGCTGAGGGAGTTCAGCCCATGTGGCCAGACTGGGCTGGGCTTGGCTGGGGGCAGGGTGGCCTCTGGGGAGGGATTGGTGAGTTCAGCCAGGCTGGAGCTGTGCCCAGTGAGCTCACTGCCTCCAGAAGCCATGACTGCCTTTCCCAGCCCCCTGTCTTCCAGCCTGGGGCTGTAGCTAAGAACTGACTGTTCTGTCTGCACTGCCGTAGAATAAGAATAAGCCTGCCGGGGTGACCTTCTGCTCCCCAGTCTTGCTGTCTACACCCCAATCCCCACTGTCAGCATCTGGTTCTTTTAGAAAACATTATAATTACCAGAAGGCACACAGGACAGGCCTAGAGAGCAATGGTTGTTTTCACCTCTGACTTTGAGAATTCTTGCCTCTGAGATGAGGGGGACATGCTGATGGTGTGGCTTTTTCTAAGGGCATGTTTTCTTTTTCCTGAATTCCAGACTCTTAGAGTTCCTGACTGTGCAGCCACGAGGAAGACAGGATTACAGCTTCTTGGTCCTTGGGTCCAGGGATGGTTAGAAGTGGGTGTTTCAGTCTGAGGTTGTGAAAGTAGGTGGTCATGGGTACTGCTGTCCTGAGGAAGAGGCCAGGGAAGAAAGGGCCTTGGAGCTCCCCCTCCCACTTTTCAGCTCACAGGCAGAATTGAAACCCCTGAATCATCTTGGAAGGGCCTGGCCTCCACCTGGAGGCCTGAAATTGTAGTAGGTGTATATCTTGCTGAAGACCTAGGGCTTGGAGCCCAAGAATAGCTTCCTTGGGTACTTCTGTGGTCAGGAGCTGTCCTGGCTCCAGCCTGGGGTCTTGAGCGCTACACTCTGGGAGCTCATGCTCTGAGCTTACTGTAGGTCTGAGTGGCATGAGTCCCCTAGAGAGAGAGCCAGAGCCAGTGTGGTCTCTCAGGGTAACATGCTGGACTTGGACAGCCCCACCTCAGTGCTTGGCCTGGCCAGATGGTCCCCCAGTCCCTAATCTGGGGGGTGGAGACAGCACCAAATGCTTCCAAGACTGTCATCATCACCTTTCTGGATGATAAGGGCCAGTGATCAGTAATGAGTGGCCAGCTGGTTCCCTGAGTTGACCACCTTTGTCCCTTGGGCTCCTTAACCTGGAATGGGGGCTAGAAATGTGTTTATCTGGCCAGCCCAAGGATCCTGAATCCATGTGATTCATTTTCCACTAAGTGGTCAGCAAGTCCTCCCTGAGTCGTCTTCTGTGCCCTTTTCAGTTGCTGTCTCTGTCTTCTGTCCCTTCTGTCTCTACCGGGTCTGAGTGCTTTGGAGCCAAGACTCCCAGACTCTCACATGTAAACCAGTGTGTGGGAACATTTTTGTTCATTCCAAATGAGCAGTCAAGGCAGACAGTACAGTGAGGAGTAAGAAAGGAGATGTCTTAGCGGTCCTGGGTGGGTCAGTTCGTTAAGCGGCTGACTCTTGATTTTGGCTCAGGTCATGATCTCCTGGTTCATGGGATCGAGCCTCGTATCGGGCTCTGTATTGGTGGCATGGAGTCTGCTTGAAATTCTCTCTTTCTGTCCCTCCTCCATTTGTGTGTGCATGCTATCACTCAAAATAAATAAACTTAAAAAAAAAGAGAACTCCACGGACTGGAGTTATCAGGGTGGGCTTCCTGGAGGAGGGGCAAGCAGTCTTTGAGGGAAGGGGCAGGGAGATTGCACTAGTTAGAAACCCTCCAGTGGGTACCTCTCTGATCCCAGGTGGAATTGTGCCCTTGGATCAAGGGTAACTTCTTGTTCTCACTCTCATTTGGAAGGTTTTATTGCCAACCTCTCTGTGCAGCGGCAGTTCTTCCCCACTGAAGAGGACGAAATGGGAGCTGCCAAGGCCCTCATGAGACTTCAGGACACATACAAGCTGGACCCAGACACCATTTCCAAAGGGCAACTTCCAGGTACCTTACCTCTCAAGGCTTTACCTGTCCAGTGTGTGTGTGTGTGTGTCTGTAATGGCATCTGAACAGGGCTGGAGCTACTGCCAGTTTGTGGTGGGCGGACTGTCAGGCATGCTGTCAGCACTGGTGGTGATCTGTCTTGGGTTTCCCATGGTGCCAGTTCCCTCACTCCCTGGCAGCCGCCTCCCATCAGCCCCTCCCAACCTGCCTCCCACACCCTCTCCCCTCCCCTCTCAGAGAAAACTAAGGCTGCTGCTCAGGACCCCTCAGACTCTGCCCCCAGAGCACTGCTCAGATCTCCTTTCAGACCTGCTTCTGTCCCCACACCCTCTGATTTCTTTTTGCCAAAGGCTGATCTCTGGACTCACTGCCCTGCGTCCTGTGTGTCCTCAGTTACAGTCTCTGCCCTGTTCATTCTTGGCCCACCTCTCTTGGCTCTTATCTGTGAGCTCACACGCACTGTCTGTTCTTACTCATTTTACAAACCCCTCCCTCAGGATTCAAGGCCCTTTGAGTCTATACTGCTGATGGATCTCTTTGCCCTCCTGGTTAGATTGCTGGATAGCCATCCACATGGTCTGCACTTCTTGGTTCTCATGTCCTCCTAAACATGCAAAGTCTGGCTCTTTGCCCCCCATCCGCCAGTCTTGCCCCTGCCAGGTCACCAGTGGCCACTCAGCTGCTAAAGCCATTGGATGGGTTTCAGGCATAATGTTCTTTAACTTTTCAGCAGCAGTTGGCACACTGATTATCCCAGTGTTCCTGATACTCTCGCTCCTTTGAATTCTGGGGCACTGATCTCTCTTCTCTTTTCGGCCTTTTGTGCTCTCTCTCACTTTTGCCCTCTCTCTCTCTCTCTCTCTCTCTCTCTCTTTTAAACAGGCCCCTTTCCCATGATTGCCTCAGTATGTTTACAACAAGACATATTGGGCTTAGGGGACTGTTAGAGACCAGTAAGCCCAGGGATTCACTTAGACCCTATTAGACCTTTGATACCATTCACCTATGGGACCCTGGAGAAGGCATAAGCCCAGGGTATCACAGTGTGTGGGAGAAAGAGGCACTCTGTTGTTGGCTAGTCAAGGATTAGAGTTTTGGCTCTGAGGAGTCTGGTGCGTCAATGGGAAGCAGTGTAGACTTCTTATTCCTGCCTCAGTCAGGTCTTGGAATAAGCCAGGCCATGAGGCTAGAGAGAGAAGGCCCCTTAGGGCACCTGCAAGATCTGTTCACCCTATAGCTGTCAGAATGTTTGGTAGGAGGAGAGAACCACACTCAAGCATTGACTTTGTACATGTAGTTAACAGACCCATGCATGTCCTGGAGGGATAGTGAGGGGTGGAAGGGAGTTCTTCCCCAGGATTCTTTTACCTTGTGTTTTACCCTAAGCACCTTCTCCAGGTGAGCCCAGCCATTGCCATCATTTGAGGCATCACCTGTACCTGGATGACATCCAGATTGTGTTTCCTATCAAGGCTTGTCTCCTGAGCTTCCAACCAGTGTAGGCAAATGCCTGTGAGGCATCTCTACTTGGGTGTTTTGTGGGCACCTCCAAAGTCACATGTTCCAAACTGAAATCCTCATGTGCTTTTGAAATGCCTCTCCTCCTCCCTCACTCCTTACCTGAGCAAAAAGCACCTCCATCCACTGGCTGCCCAAGTCAGAATACCAAGGTCTGTGGATTCTACCTCTCTTATCATGTCTTCTTTACTTGGAGGCCCTAACTCCAGCCTCATGGAGCCTTATTTCTCAACTGTATTATTGAAATATGTCATTTTGACCTGTCACGTCACTCCTTAAAAGCACTCTCCATGTAGTCACAAGCACATATCTGTTTATATCAGTTCCTGATCACAAAGCTTAACTTTAACTGCTAAACCCAAATTCCACCTATGTGTGATCTTTGAGTCTTGCATGGAGCCCTCTCCCTCTCTTCCTTGTCCATACTGCGTATTAAATTTGTACTAAGCTACCCACCCCTCAGCTCCTTTGCCCATCCCACACCCTCTGCCGAAGTACCTTTACCCACATCTGCTGGGTCTCATGTCTGATTGCCCTTCAGTACTCAGGTCAGCCGGTACTCTGCAGGGAGCACTCTCCAGCAGGTAGACTTTTGATTGGCTTCTGGGGAGGATGCTGAGTATCTGGGAGCTATTGTTGACATTCTTGGCGTTTGTGAGACATGCTGATAGTTGCTACTGATTATTAGCATCCTGGGGATCATAGAAGACATCTTTATGCATTATCTCATTGAATTCTTGTTCAAGTCCTCTAAAATTGATGGTGTTTACTTTAGACGTAAGGGGACTGAGAGTCAGAGAGGCTACGTAACTTATTCATAGTCACACAGCTGGTGTTTGCCATAGTGAGGCCCACATAGACCCAGCTTTGTCCATCTAGCTCAGCTGCTGTGTTATACTGACTCCATCACTGTTAGTTCCTGGGCCTATAGAGCCAAAGATCTGTGCAGGCCCAAGGATGATGGCCAGGGGCTCAAGGAACCCCTTCATCTCTGGCCTGTCTACTAACTCCACCTACCCTCCTCACCTTCCTATCCCACGTTGTCTGTTGCTGAGCCATCAGGGCAAACAGACCCCAGTCTCTGAAGTACCCGACCCATTGTAACAGGGGTTTTATTGTGGACAGAGCCCCATCTTGGACATCAGGCAGAAAGAACTCCCTCTGAGGCAGCACTTCCATGTCACCCATGCCTAAGTTGTTAAGAGAGTTAATGGAGATTCCCTCACTTTCCAGGGAGGGTCACAGCTCTTCTTTCCTCTTCGTGAGACCTGCTTTCTCACCGTTCCCTGAGGAATTCACTCATGGTCCCTCCCACTTTGCCCCCACCCTAAATCCTACATGTTTCTGTAGCTGGCATACCATATCTTGTCCTTGACTTGAAACTACCTTCATTGTCACTGTACAGTGCTGAGCCCAGGCAGGACCTGTAGAATAGATGCTCACCAAGGTCCCCGCCACCTAATGGTCAAAGCTGACACTGCAGGCTTGGCTCTTGACTTCCCTTGGCATCTGCCCCACAGCACTCCTGGCATTGTTTGTGCTACTACCTCTTAGGTCCTTCTCAGTGTTACTCTTTGTCCTTTCTCTGCAGGTGATCTGTGGGGTTCTGACCTTAGCCACCTTCCCTACTCTTGTCCTGTACTCTTGCTGGAAGTGATTATCCTCATCTGTGGCTTTAGCTGCCACATAAGTTCTTTGTTTTATATTCACCTAATTTTTCTCCCTCCAAGTCTGTCTGATATGGCCAGCTGCCCAACAGACATCTCCTCTGTGGCTCACAGGACCTTCATACTCTTCTGAATACTACTTTCTGGGCTTCCTGGGTTTCTCCACAACAAAGGCCCCTTCCCACATGGGAGAAGGGGATACTGTGGCTGGGAGATTGGCTGTGAACTCCAGTTTGAGGCAGGACCAGCCTCTCTGTGCTCACTTTGAAGTGCATGGTCTGAAGCCATGGTGGAACTCAGCTGGGATGATGCTCTCCCACCCCCCACCTTCCACTCGTCCAGGCTTCCTCAATGTGGGTATCTTTCTGCCAGTGCAGAGGCTCTTTGGAGACTGACCATTGGCCTCTCCTGCTGCAGGAACCAAGTACCAGGCAGTGCTGAGTGTGGATGACTGCTTTGGGATGGGCCGCTCAGCCTACAATGAAGGCGACTATTACCATACGGTCCTGTGGATGGAGCAGGTGCTGAAGCAACTCGATGCTGGGGAGGAGGGCACCACAACCAAGGCCCAGGTGCTGGACTACCTGAGCTATGCTGTTTTCCAGTTGGGTGACCTACACCGTGCCCTGGAGCTCACCCGCCGCCTGCTTTCTCTTGGTAAGGATGTTATAGGGGAAGGTCAGAGCTGATGGGGAGCTGGCAGGAGAACTGGTCACTCTGCTGGCCACTGTCCTGGGACTGAGCCAGTCTCACATGTCACCTGGCCAGTGACTAATGCCTTAACTGCTTTCAGGCCTATTCCAGCTGCCACCTAGTTCTTTACTCACCTTATTTCTGGCCTTAGCCCTTGCCCAGTTGCTGATGGATACCCTCAGACCTGTCGTCCTTCACACTCCCTTTTTCAATAGGAATCCAGTGCTGCAGTGCCTCTGCTGCTCTGCGGGATAGAGAGCCTTCACGGTGTCAGGAGCAGCTCAAGAGGCGCTTGAGGGTTTGTGCAGTGACAGAGGCCTGCCCCATTAGTTAGAGGTCTGAGGTCTTACTGGTGGGATTTGGTATGGCATTGGTGTTTAGAATGTCTTGTGGTGTTGGATTGAAGGAGATCAGAAGCACTGTGTCTTTTTCTTTTTAAATTTGGATTTTTAAAAATATTTATTCATTTTGAGAGAGACACACAGAGAGAGAAAGAGAGAGAGAGAGTGCGTGCGCAAGCGGGGGAGGGGCAGAGAGAGGGGGAGACACAGAATCTGAAGCAGGCTCCAGGCTCTGAGCTGACAGCACAGAGCCCGACGCAGGGCTCGAACCCACAAACCATGAGATCACGACCTGAGCCGAAGTCGGATGCTCAACTGACTGAGCCACCCATACGCCCCAGCAGTGTGTCTTTAAAATCTATCTGTTGCACCTCTTACTAACATATGGAATTATCACAGTCAAGAATTTCATAGACCAGCTGCTGTTTTTCATGAGCCTTGAGTCTGATGCCCCCTAGCGTATGATTGTCCTGTAAGACTGATGTGGGCAGAGAGCTTTATAGATCCTTTCATGTTAGTAAGGGCCTTGGACCGGGAGTCAGGATGCCTGGATTCCTTTTCTGCATAACCTTAACCTAAATCTTTTAATATCTTTGGACCTCAGTTTCCTCATCTATGGAGTGGCACAGTAATCCTGTCACATGTACTCCTTTGTGTTATTAAGGCACACAAAATGAAGCTGTGGCATTGTTGTGGCTGTTCTTTTTGCCAGTATTTCAGCCTGCCTTCTTGTTGTGATCAGCATGTGATGCGGTCACTAGTAATGGGTGTACTCTAGGGCATGGGTGTAAATGACTCAGCCAAGTGGGGAGGAGGCAGCAAGAGTCTGTACTCCTTCTCTAGACCTGTGCCCATGGGCCCCTTGTGTGGCCGGCTAAGTGTCCCCCAGTCTATTGTTCCTTTCACATCTCTGATGGAGCAGGGAGGGCCTGTGTCAGTTTCCCCGCTTTGACCAATGAGCCTTGTTAGGTGCTGTGGAAAAGCAGAATGCTGCGTGCAAAGTGAGCTGCCGGGAGAGAAAACCACTTACAGGATAATTTCTCTAAGCAATCTAACAGATGTTTGTGGTTTCCTTTTCCTTCTTGTTCTTTGCTCTTTCTAGACCCGAGCCATGAACGAGCTGGAGGGAATCTGCGGTACTTTGAACAGTTGTTGGAGGAAGAAAGAGAAAAAATGTTGTCAAATCAGACAGAAGCTGGGCTAGCAACACAGGAAAGCATCTATGAGAGGCCTGTGGACTACCTGCCTGAGAGGGATATCTATGAGAGTCTCTGTCGTGGGGAGGGTGTCAAACTGGTGAGAAAACATGGCTGGGTCCTACATGTGGACCTAGATTTCAGCTCTGGACGAGCACATTTGGGGAGGATGTTCCTGTGTATGTAGGCCGTTTCCTCAACTTCTTCCCCAGTTCTTTGTAGCCTCTGCTGTGGCTGACCTATGGGTGTTCTCTGATGTAGGATTGTGAGACTGTCTCCCCTGATGATCCAGGCAGAGTTTCTTTCTTTCTTTTTTTGAACTTTATTTATGTATTTTGAGAGAGAGAGAGAGAGACAGTGTGAGTGAGGGAGGGCAGAGAGAGAGAGAGAGAGAGAGAGAATCCCAAGCAGGCTCCACACTGTTAGTCCAGAGCCTGATGTGGAGCTTGAACTCACAAACTCTGAGATCATGACCTAAGCCGAAATCAAGAGTTGGACACTTAACCAGTTGAGCCACCCAGGCACCCCACAGGCAGAATTTCAATCCTCTAAGTTACTACCAAGCTCCCCTTCCCATCCCAGCATGCCCAGCTTCTGCTTGACCCATGCTCTGAGGAAAACCATGAGTGTGGATGTGGCCCAAAGGGAAGTTGTGGTCTGTGTAGTAAAGACACAATAGTAGCTACAGCTTAGTCTCAGGTGTCACTGGCTTTTGAGAGCCTTGGGATTCCATTGCTTCCTCCAGGAGGCTAAGGTGTGAGGCGGTCTCTGGGCCTTTTCCATTGCCCATGTCTGCTTACCTCCCACTGGCTCCTCCACCTGGAGTGGGTTCTCCCCAGTGTCAGCCCTTCTGACCTTCTAATATCTCTGTGAGAGGGGTCAGCGATCACCCTGTGCCACAGCACTTGTGGACATGAGGAATTCTTGGAAGAGGAGAAACATTACATGATTTGTGGCGTATCATTTCTCTCAGTCAAGCTGAGGGGCTCTTGTTTCTTCTCTGGTGGGGCAGAAGGGAGCAGCTGCTGGACACGACATGTGAGACCAGCCTCTGCACCAAGCCAGCCTGGGTCCGAGGTTTAAGACGCACTTTGTTCAGGACCTCTCGCTCTCTGTGCTCTCCAGACTCCCCGGAGGCAGAAGAGGCTTTTCTGTAGGTATCACCATGGCAACAGAACACCACAGCTTCTCATCGCCCCCTTCAAAGAAGAGGATGAGTGGGACAGTCCGCACATCGTCAGGTACTATGATGTCATGTCTGATGAGGAAATCGAGAGGATCAAGGAGATCGCGAAACCCAAAGTAGGTATCTCTGCACTTCCTTCCTGGCCACCTCATCCCTGGTACCATGGAGTGATTTCTTTGTTTATTCAGCTGGCCTGTTCTGATATGCAGCGTGAGTCTGCTGTCTGGGTGCTGAGGTACTGCACAATTTGACCTTATGGGTTCCTGGTCCAATGCTGAAGAAAACTGAAGGAACCAATGTGAACAGCCAGGTGCTAGGACAGAAGGCCTCACTGGTTTTTACTAGTTATGTTGTTCAATTAGGTCTCTAGTGTTAGTTTATTATATGCTGAAGTACTGATCATAAAAATATATTTTTTAGTAATAGCTAATGTTTACTGAGTTCTTAAGTATGGCAGGCCCTGTTCTGAGTGCTTAACATATATTAACTATCACGTCTCTTAAACATATTATGTCATTGTTTTCATTTTACCCACGAGGAAACAGACCTGTGTAGTTTGCACCTGGTTGCTCAACTGTCTCATTCTTCTTTGGGTTTTTAGCTGATTCTCTTACATTGCCCAGACACTGTTATCAACTGCAAATAGGGAAAATTTTGTTTTCTCCTTCCCAGTAATTATAGTTCCTATGTTTTTATCTTCTTGGGAACTGCTCAGAACTTCATGAGCATTGTTAACAGTATACATCCTGGTCTTGTTCCTGAATTTCCTGGGGATTCCTATGGTATTTCACTACTAAGTATACAGTTGGCTGTTGGTTTTTGTACATTTGTCATCAGGCTATAAAATTATTCTTATATTTCTAGTTCATAGAAGACTTGTTTCTATTTGACGTTTTTCAAAGAGAGCCATTTGGTGTTATGTCTCCACCCTTCTCTTATCATTGGTGATTACAAGGAGGGATTTAGTTAGATCCTGTATTGCTGTGCTCCTAATAGACTGGTAGTGGCCAGGAGGCCCAACACTTGTGGAGAGACAGAAAACAGGTTCCTATCCTGGCCCCTGCACCTCAATCTGAAGCGACCTTGGCTTGAGGTTCTAGGACATCGAGCACTCAGAATCAGCCATTGATGTTGCTGAGGGATGGTGTAGCCAGTGCGTGTGGAGAACAGGGACCAGGACCTCCCTTTCCACTCCCTGGGACAGCTGCAGAGTCAGCCAAGGAAGAAAACTGTTTTCCTGGTTGCCGGGCAAGAGAGGCTTTGTTATGCCATGACCTCCTGAGACATTCCTCACTTGTCTTTCAGACCAAGGCACTGTAGCATTTCTGTGTGTGTATTCACGATGGGTGTGTGTGTATACATGTGTGTGGCAGGGGCGGTGTAGTGGGGAGAAAACTTGTCTTTGAATAGAAGCCATGACATGTTGGCCATTAAAAGCTGACCTCTCCTTTCCGGAGCCTGTGAGGGACAGATGCTATTCTGGCTTTGAAGTAGGAACCATGAACTTAACTTGGTCTGCAGGGAATGCCTGGCAGCTGCTTTTTTGGGTCCCTGGCCTGGTTTCAAAATAGCCCTGTCTGTCTCTTGTAGCAGAACACAGCTGCCCACAGCCTCATTGTGGATGTCCAGCGAGCACCGAGGCTCAGATGTTTGGGTGGGGTCTGACTGCAGCCGCACTTGTTATCAGGAGGAATCGTAGTTGGGAGTTTAGGGAATCCTTCTGTCCTGGGTGCGCTGCCGTGTTGCCAGAACTTGCTGCAGCAGCAGTGTCCCTGTTCGGTGATGATCTGGCCAATCTTCTGGTCCAGTCACACTTATCCATCCCTTCTGCCATCAACTCTTGGCCTGACCTCTGCCTTGACCTCCTCAGTGGCCTCCTTGTTACCACTCTGGCCCTTCCCTAGTTTTCCATGAGGTGTCCACATTCAGATTGTGAGTGTCCCTCACCTGCCTTTCCTGTTTCTCATTGGCCACAAGCTTGCTTCCAGGCCCAGTCCTCACTTGCCTCTTTGGCCTACTCTCATCTCTTACATCTAACTTCTAATCTACAGTCATGGTGCCACACCCATATTCATCTCTGGGCCTCTGCATTGCTATTCCTTTTCTGTTACTGTAACATTCCCCTACTTGGCTAACTCCTGCTTACCCTTCAAGTCTCAGCTAGGTGGTCTTCCCCTGACCATTCCTGACTGTATAGACTAAGCTCCCACAGACTGTAAGCTTACCCCACTCCCAGCTCTTACCATGTTGTGCTGCAATTAGGCAGCTAGTCTTTTGCCTTCTTCACTTGATTGAGGTGTGTGAGGGCAGGGGCGATGTCTTGGTCACCAGTGTAGTGCCAGGCACATAGTAGGTACTCATTAAGTATTAATTGAAATTAAGGGGAAGTGATGTTGGGGTGGGGGTATCTGGGTCTGTGGTCCTACCCATGTGAGGTCATTAGGACGGCCCACAGTTGAAGCATGGTGGGGCTGACTTTGGGCAGCCAGGTGATTCTTGGGAGCATCATTGCACCTGTCTGTGGAGACTGAGGGGGAGATGAGGTAGGTTAGGGGTATTTGTGTATGTGTATGTATGAGTGTGTATGTGGAGGTAGGTGGCTTCCAGGCATTAGTTCACATATTTCAACTCGTAGAGTCCTTTCTGGATTCTGTCATCTGACCTTGTAAGGCCCCTGAGTAGAAACTGTGCTTCCTATCTTTCCTCTTCACAGCAGTGGGAGTCCAGTGTGAGCTGGTGCAGCAGGAGGGTGTTTGCATAGGTTTCTTGGCACAGGAGGCTGCTGTGGTTCAGAAGTCCTCAGGCTCTGGGATGGTAACACTGTCTGAATACAGTGGGAGCAGCCAAGCACAGGTGGTGTTCAGTCAGGGGCAGTTTGTGGGCCTGGTGAGAAAGCAGTCTGTCCAGGCAGATGAGGCAATGGATAAAGAAGACTCCGCAGGTGTAATTCTGCAGACAGCACAGACCTGGGCAGCACCCAGGGCTAGGCAATGACTGAGTGGGGCAGCAGCAGAGTAGGAATGTTGAGGCCTCAGACTACCACCTTGCCTAGCTTGCAGGATCACATTGCCTTGGCCAGGGCCACTGCCTGAAAGTCTTCCTCCCTCGCTGGTCTGACTGGTGGGTCTGGCCCCAGTCTCTCTGGGAAAACACTCAAGACAAAGAAGGATAAGTGTGCCTCTCTTCCTGTCTTCCAGCTTGCACGAGCCACTGTTCGTGACCCCAAGACAGGCGTCCTCACTGTGGCCAGCTACAGGGTTTCCAAAAGGTTAGCAGAGGTGATGGCGGTAGTGGTGGTGGGAGGGGGGTGGCTGCTCAAGCCCTCTTTCCAGGGCTTCTTAGTCTCTACTCAAGGGAGCTTGGCTTGGCTTGTCCTACTTGCTGGCACCATCCCTACTTACAATACTCACCCTGTGCTGGCCCTGATTCTGGGGACAGAGTGAAGGATCTCACCTAAGCTGCCTTCCCAACCTTCCTGTTTCTCCCTCTTTTGACTTAGCTCATGGCTGGAGGAGGATGATGACCCTGTTGTGGCTCGAGTGAATCGTCGGATGCAGCACATCACAGGGCTAACAGTAAAGACTGCAGAATTGCTTCAGGTATGGCTGGTCCCTGTGACCCTGTGGTTGGGAAGTGTGTATTTCTGGCTACATGGTCTCCCAGGGTGCCCATGACCAGGCTTAGGGAGGCTTGCCCAATGAACTGTATGACTGCACAACGATATGAATATGAAATGACCTTACACAGGGAAGCCAGAATTAAGCATGCCTACTGTCATTCCAACAGTTAGCATTCAACAAATGTTGATTATCTTCTCTGTATCCAAGTATCGTAGTAGGAGCTAGGGATCAGTGGTGGGCATGGCAGGCCCGTTGTGTCTTCTTGACTTTGGAAGCTGAGTTGTTTTAAGGACACTTCTAAGAGAGCTGTAAATACCTTCAAAGGTCTTGGTTCTGATGCACATGATTCACATGCACTTGGAGGTGACGTGTCCTGAGATACATTGGTAGGAAAAGTGAGAGGCCTGGAGAGGCTGGTGAGAGTGGAGTGCTTTTTTCAAAGTACCCCCTGTGGAACCCTGGCTTCCTGCCTTTATTTCCAGGGTGATTGTAAAGACACATGAAAGCTGAGTAAAGCTCCTAATTAATGTATTCTCTGTAGTATATTGAATTCAATCAGTTCTGGCCATCGTCCCTTCTGAACATTGGAACTTCTGGGTACTATTGTAAAGTGATGACCTGTTGGCATTTTTTAAGAGTCCCCTGGGTCTGTCTTTATGGCTAGAGTTTCTCTGTATTTCAGGATTGCTCCTTTCATCTTGATGCTTAGCATTTGGATCTGATCAACAATAGATTTCATTAGAATATTGAAGATCATTTGGAAAAGGTTCTCTGAACTTTTGCAGGATACACTCTAGCAAATCACTGATTTTTTTTTTTTTCCTATAGCTGTGACACCAATCAGAAAACCAATTTTGAAAGTCTTCTTTATGGATTTGTTTGAAATCCACTAATTTTGTCTTATTTTATTTTATTTTATTTTAGATTATTCTAGTCTATTTTATTTTTTATTTTTATTTATTTTTGAGAAAGAGAGAGCACACACACAGACAGGAGAGGGGCAGAGAGAGGGAGACACAGAATCTGAAGCAGACTCCAGGCTGTGAGCTGTCAGCACAGAGCACGACGTGGGTCTCAAACTCATGATCTGTGAGATTATGATCAGTTGGATGCTTAATCAGCTGAGCCACCCAGGCGCCCCCCCCCAACCCCACCCCACCACCAGTTTTTGAAAACTTGCTGATTACCTTTCATTCTTGTGAAAGTTTTATATAATCTTTAGTTCAGCCCAAGCTAGTGTTGAGTTTGTAAGCTTAATTTAATTTTAATGTAGTTCTGTAAACAAGCACATCGGTGGAGGATTTTGATCACTTCTCCTACTTCCACCTTTTTAAGAGTGGTAGGGACTTTCAGTGCACTTGGTGCATCCGTGTTGGCTTTGTTGTGATCCATATCTTCGTGGAGCAGATTTGTTGTCGTTAAGACATCTGCCACTGTTGGAGCCAGTGTTAGGACTCTCACTGCCCCCATCGAGGATGACATTCTGCTTGATTGGCTGATTGCATGCTTTAAACCAATGGGCTGAGAAGAGTGGGTGGGACTCTGCTCATGGTGCCCTCCTGGCTGGCTTCCCTGCTACACCCTCTCTACCTTATCTCACATGAAATCTAAAAGGCAGAAGCTTCGTACTTGGACTAGCTTATCTGCCACAACCCTGGCTCCATCTTGTCAGGCCTGTCATCATGTTGTAGCTCAATTGATGACTGGGATCTGAATGCCAGGACTCCCTATGGAGGGACTCTTGATGTTGGGACTCTTCTGGAAGACCCAGACCACAGCTGCCCGGGGGCTGAGGCCCCGTTTTTGTTTGCCTTCTTCTAGGAGCTGTCTTGGCATTTCCTTTGCCAGCCAGCAGTGTTGAAAGCTTTGACCCTACATGGTCTGGGGGACAGCAACTTGGGTTTCAGCACTTGCTTCTAAGTGCTCATTCCACATGGACCATTTAAAGTGTCATTAGAGGGGCGCCTGGGTGGCGAAATGGGTTGCTGTCAGTCCCATCACAGGGTCACTATCTCGCTGTCCGTGAGTGGTGGCCCGCTGCCAGGCTCTGGGGCTGATGGGCTCAGAGCCTGGAGCCTGTTTCCGATTCTGTGTCTCCCTCCCTCTCTGCCCCTCCCCCGTCATGCTCTGTCTCTCTCTGTCCCAAAAATAAATAAATGTTGAAAAAAAAAAAATTTAAAGTGTCATTAGAGCCTCGGCACCAGCAAAAGTCTCTAGTCCCTGGTCCTTCAGAATATTACGGGCTTCTGGAAAGGAGCTGATGCTTATGCTCCCTGTTGATACTCTGTCACTTGTAGTCGATGTTTGCTATAGATCTTTTGGAGGAGAAAGGGCAATTGAGGCTTTCTTATGAATTAGACGAAGGCTTGTCTGATAGTGGAAGAGATGCTACACTGGCAGGATTGAAGACACTTATGACTTGATGTCTCAGCCTTACTAGAAAAGTAATTTCTGACCATTTTTGTGTGTGTCTTCACTCTGACCTAAATATCATAAATACCCATGTCTTTCAAATGACTGACTCTTAATACTTTTGTAACAACACATCTAAAGGTTAAAATGAATACCTCCTCACAGGAATCAGTTTTTGTTTGTTTGTTTTATAGAGATAGTGCATGCACGAGCAGAGGAGAGGCAGAGGGACAGCAAGAGAGAGAGAATCTCAACCAGCCTCCACACCCAGCACAGAGCCCAATGTGGGGTTCAGTCTCAAGACAGTGAGATCATGACCTGACCTGAAATCAAGAGTCAGACGCTCAATTGACTGAGCCAGCTAGACACCCCAAGAATCAGTTTTGATGTACGGTTGCTAGTTATTAAAGTTGTGAGTCTGGGCCTGGAGTTTGCCCAGATGGTGAATTTGATTGCAAATCCAGAAGCTCCCATGACACTTGCTCTTTGGGGATAGTATTAAGTTGTGTAGACACCATAGCATCAGCACCATGATTGAACTGTAAAAAGATGAGTCCGTTAAAATAATGCAGCTTCTTTCACTCCATCCTATCCAGCTGCAAGCTTAAGCCATCCTATATGCTCCCTGTTTGCTCCCAGCAAAGGGGAGTATTGGAAAATGCAGTCATACACTGCAGTTCCAACAGCAAGCAGTGATCAAATTTTGCAGAGTGCATAGCTACAGTAATCACAGTCGTATTTAAAATTTTCTTTCAAGTTCCCAGCTAAACTGGACCCAAAGAAAGTGTTTGTAATATTTTATCAACAACTGTAGCACTTCCCTCCTTACATGCACCTTCAGCCTTTGGGCCACTGGCTGAACCAGGCCTCCTTGCACTGTTGACAGGATTTCCCGGTATTTCTGGTACAGGAATCTTGCAGGCCCAGGCAGCGTATGACAGCGTATTTTCATCCCCTGATTGTTTATCAAATTTTATTTCTTTGGACACTGAAAATCATGCTGTCCAAATTCTGCCCTTCCTCACATTTGATATATATTTTCTTTTCCAGTAGGAGGATTTCCTCTCTTGAAAAGTACCTCTTCTCTCCCGCATGTCTGTAGGTCTCTATTATTGACAGTCTTGGAGTATCTCACATCTGACTCTTGGAATCACCAAAAAGGATATGCAGAAAATGCCAGCTTCCTAAAGACTAATAGCTGTGCCCTAGAGGTTTTTAGTGTTTCAGTAAGAGACAGTAGCCAAATGCTCCCAGATAGACATTAGTGGTACCACTTGATCTGTCAGCTTCCATAACAAATTATATGCTTCTTCTTGAACTTTGTCTATCAATCTGGCTACTGTGGCTAAAATAAACGTTTGTGACTTAGGACTTACATTGTGGTGATAAACTGTTCAGTCAGGTATTTACAGTTCATAATCTAATTACAGTAAAACCTTGGTTCGTGAGCATAATTCATTCCGGAAACATGCTTATAATCCAAAGCGTTTGTATATCAAAGCGAATTTCAAGAACCATTGGCTCACTTGTGATTATGTATTATTGGGTGTCACATACTGCTCATATCGCAAGACATCACTTGTTATCAAGTTGAAATTTATTAGAAACGTTTGCTCATCTTGTGGAACACTTGCAGAAGAAGTTATTTGCATTCCAAGGTTTTGCTATAATGACATCTGGTAGTTGCTGAAGCTAAGATGGCTCAGGTCCTAGTCCAGGTCCAGACTACCACAGGGGCCACCATGGTAGAGCAGCGGTCATTGGCCACACTGCAGCTGGCTGCCCCTGTCCCGCTGTGTCACTTGGATACAGAGCTACTCTGTACAGGGAACTGCTGAGAGAGGGGAGTCAGGTACGTTTGCCCTGCTCACTTTGACTAGGAACAGCAACTGTACACAGTGACACAGTGGGGGCAGGAGCAGTGTCAGGCACCGAGTCACTCCCAAACTAGCCTAAAAAGAAAGTCCCTGTCTTGAGTTTCTTGTTGGCTTTCGTCTGGATTACCTTCTTCTTATCTCTCAATCAAGTAGGGCCCAGGCCAGAGCCTACCTCAAGGAAAGCTCTGTCTGCTGACTTCTGAGTGTCCCTGAAGCCCAGAGCTTCTTCCCAGTGGCCTATCCTGTTGTGTTGGGAAAGCACATTTGTGCTGCAGCCTGACCGTTGGACACAGCTGTGGACACATTTAGTTTTTTTTCTGCCAGTGCTGGCAGGGTATAGTTAGAGAGGCTGCACTTGGAGATTCAGGTTGTTTTAGTTGTTAGGGGGAGATAATATCCCTGGGGAGAGGGCCTGCTCCAGGACTGTTCATGCTGCTGACAAGGTCCAACGCTGTTCTTTCCCACCAGGTTGCTAATTATGGAATGGGAGGACAATACGAGCCACACTTTGACTTCTCTAGGGTAAGGCCCAGACCACGGGTGCTTTCAGAGGCCCTGCTCCAGCTGGTGAGAGAAAGCTGGAGCTTCTAGGAGCACTTCAACCTCTACATCAGGCCCCCCTGCCTTACCAGGACCACCTGTTTGTTACTGGAGAAGTCCAAATCTGGAAGCATGGGACCTGTGGAGCCCAGTGCAGCCTGGCTGTTTCCCTGTGATGTGGGGAGTATTCCCCCTGCCCCAACTGTCACATTACCATGATTGTAAAGCATAGAACCTCACTAGGTGTTAGTGAAAGCTGTTCCTGCCCCCCTCCCCTGTGCCCCAGTCAGGGTTTCCTTTGCAGTAATGATCCATGGTCCAGGCTGATATATGGAATACATGCTGAGTGCCCTTCCTTGATCCTTTTGGCCCCGGTCCTGTGAGTGGGGGGTGGAATCATCTGCAAACGTGTGTGAAAGTTGTTGTTTGTTGCAGCGACCTTTTGACAGCGGCCTCAAAACGGAGGGGAATAGGTTAGCGACGTTTCTTAACTATGTAAGTATTCGGGCCAGGTCCACCTGTTCATTCTCACTTAATTTTATAGAAAAATGAGCAAGATGCTTTCAAGCGTTTAGGGACGGGAAACCGTGTGGCCACGTTCTTAAACTACGTGAGTATAATGCATGCAGCTTATGGGTCTTCAGGGGAAACTGGGTCCAGAGTGCTATCTTACATTCATTTCTGTGAGGCCTGATATCACCAGCTGTTGCTTAATGGCTGAGCCCTTCTGGCCCTCAGCTCTCTTCTTGGCTGGAGTAGAGAGTTTACCTTTGTTCCCATCTGTGTGCTTAGCCACACCTATGACTTTCACGTCCTTGACCCTTTTTAATGGGCCCACTGCTAGTCAGAACTTTTGAGGTGAGTGCCCTGGAGTGTTCTTTCCTTGGTGGCAGAGTGGGGAGCCTGCCATGAGGCGCTTTTAAATGAAAGCTGCCTTTGTTTACCCAGAACTCAGTGGCCTGCCTCCCACCTGCTGCCTGTGCTCCAGCCACATGCCATTGGGTTTACCTGTCACGTGAGGAACAGTTTGCTTTCCCCTATGCTTGGCCCACTTTAAAGAGGCATACAGACTGTCAAGTAACTTAGACACAGAAACCGAGGTCCATCTTTTCCTTTGGTATCTCATTTAAGTGTTTGTGTATGTTTATTATGTCCCGGGGATGGCCATGAACATGCTGGTGAGCAGGACACGTGTGGCCTCTGGTGGGGCTTATGATCTAATATGAGAGACTTGCTTTAAACGTAGAAGTAATTATTTAGTTACCATGGTGATAAGTGCCTTAAAAAAGCTGAGGTTCAGACACAGCCTCACTGGGGAGTAATGTGTCTGTGGAGACTTGAAGGTTGAGTGGAAATTAGTTGGTGGAACATGCTTCCTGGCAGAGGAGTGAATGTGTGGAGACCTGGAAGAGGAAAGGAGCTGGGGATGTTGGAAAATGGAAGAAGGCTCTTGTGACTCAGAGGCAGTGCATGAGGTGAGAGTTGCTAGAGAGAGAGAATGGCTTCTGAGACTGACAGGGCCTTTGGGTTCTAGAAAAGAGCCTGGATTTGATCCCCAGCACTATGGGAAGCCATCAAAGGTTTTCATCTTATTCGTTTACCATATGTCTGTTGAGTGCTCTTTAGTCTGTCTGGCATGCATCCTGTGGAAATATTTTTTTTACTCCACCTGTTAATACATGATAGACAAAAAAAACTTGGAGGAAGCCAGCCAGATGAAAGAGAGGTGGTGCCTTGGGCATGAGTTGAGGCATGCTTTGCGGGCCCAAGTGTAGTCTCCCCACCGTGGAGCCTGTGGTCCATTTAGTTTGAGGTGTCTCTGGGAGAAAGCAGGGCCCGCAGAGCTTTACTCTGCCTGCTCACCTAGCTGGCCCTTAGGGCTGCCATTCTGGGAAGATGAAGGTGTTGCTAGAACCAGAGAAACAGAGCCCACAGTGGGGGCCACCAATGGTATTGGAAGCAGCAAGGAGCTCCGGGTCAGGGCAGATCACTGGGCACAAGTGCCTTAGGAATGGCCCAGGCTGGGAGGGGATACAAGGGTGGGAGGTGGGGGAGGTCAGTCAGGCATTTTCCGTGTACAGACTGGGATTGTTCCCATCTGAGGATGGCCAGGATGTGGGTCTCCTGCAGGGCTACAGCTCTCAAGAGCCCTTGGCATGGAGCTGTCCTGATGAACCACACAGGTTAAAGCAGGGTTTAGAGAGGGGTAGTGCATGGGGAGATCCTTTCTTGGGTGGCTGACTGGCTGTAGAGCAGAGCCTTCAAGCAGTGCCACTCCTGCTCAGAGAAGGGTAATCTGCATGCTTGTGTCCTTTGTGACTGAGTTGCTCAGACAGCTTTGGGTATAGAGGCCAAGCTCTATGTCTTCTGTTCTCAGATGAGTGATGTGGAAGCTGGCGGTGCCACTGTTTTTCCTGATCTGGGGGCTGCCATTTGGCCTAAGAAGGTGAGTTCTAGTCCTTGTGGGTCACAGGTTGAAGCACGGCTCAGACCTTATTCCTTTCTCCTCTGAGTTCCATTCCCTGGCCTGCTTGACTCTTACTCTGAGGGGTCTTAGCCCCTTCCTGCCTGAACTCTGACCTTGGGGCCCCAGCTTCCACTTGGGGATATGGATAGGGAGGGAAGTCCCTTTGGGGGAAGGTGGGTTATCAAGCATCCACCCCCTCATGAAGGGTGGATGCTTTCTGGGGTGCTTGCCTGTTGCTGGAATCTCAGAGCCCTGTCCCTTTGTATGCAGGAAAGTGAGGGTGTTTTTGCTCAGAGAGGGTCTGTGGTATTTGGGGTCAAGTCACTGAGCCCAGTATCTGTGGGTGTTGTGTGACAGGCTGTCTCCTTTTCCTAGGGCACAGCTGTATTCTGGTACAACCTCCTGCGGAGTGGGGAAGGTGACTATCGTACGAGACATGCTGCCTGTCCTGTGCTTGTGGGCTGCAAGTGGGGTGAGTGGCTTGGTGGCCTCAGCCTGGGCTCTTATGGTCAGCCTTAGACTCTGAGTTGGGAGATACCTGCTGCCATATGTTTACAACGCCAAGGCTATCTTCCTTTTTGAGTTTTTTTTTTCCCCCTGCTAAGTGGTTGTCTCATCCAGCCATGTAACTAACCACAATGCTGGTTATGTGTCAGGACAGGTGGTTGGGAATACTCTCAGAGATGCCCAGAGAACTGAAGAAGCCACAAGGAAGAATAGCTGCACAAGCATAGTAGGTCCAGGATGGCTCCCCAGAGGAATGGACTCTGGCAAAGGGTGAGGGAGCAGTGGGGGAGAACTGGAATCACAGAGGGGAAGGAGTGTCCTAAGCAAGCAAGGCTAAAACCACCATCATAGGTGTGGGGACCAGCCACCTTTGTCATTTGCATAAGGGGAGGCCTCTGGCACAGGGGCCAGGAGATGAGGCTCAAGGCTGGGACCACAGGCTAAAGCTTGAGCTTTGAGCTTTGTTCTGGAAATAGTTGTGGTGAGCCAGGGAGAGGCTTGAGTGAGGATGACAGGAAGTGATTGCAAAGACGTGAGTTTATATTGTCCTGGAGAAGTTGGGGATATTAGTGGTAGGTTCGCAGAAAATTAAGCAATTAGAAAATAAATGGGGCAATTGCTGACTAAAAGGGCAAAGAAAATGTGCAACAAATGTCAGCATATACTGCTAGGTGGCTCAGGTGTAAGTGACACTTATATGACATAATGTAGGCACTGAATATTAATTTAGTTAAAATTTGTGACTTTATTGGGAAGATAAAAGACACTAAATATATATGTTTTAGGGATAGAATGAAAGAATTCCAAAATTGAAAGACAAGAGATAGCACTATAAGCATGCTACTTAGAAATAAGTGGTAGAATATCAGAAGAAACAACTAAAGGAATTGAATGTCCTCTAGAAGTGGAGTTTGGCAGAGAGGGGATGGGTAGGAGATTGCTGTTTATCACTCTAAGCTTTATAGGCAATTTGCTTTTTTTCAACTAAGTATATCTTGTACTTTAATTCAAAAGCTCTCTGACTTCAGTAGTATGTGTTAAGGACACAGCTTTAGGTGCAGTTGGGACACAGCTCTAGGTGACAGGCAGTGTTAGCACCAGCTCTGCTACTCTGCTACCCACAGCACACAGATTGGATCTGCTGGCCCCCAGGTCCTGAGGTTGATGTCCAGGCACCTATAGTCCTGATGGTCTTCCTCATCCTTAGCTTCTGTATCTCAGTTCCATCCCAGTAATACCAAGCTGCTTGGGGTCCTTGACACCAAGGTGGTTCGTGCCTTGATGTTTTTCTTGTCCTGTTCCCCCTTCTTGGACCCTTTGATATAGGAGTCATCTGCTATGTCCATCATCTGCCCTGAATAACTCCTGTTCAGCTTCATGTCCCAGCCCTGGGTCTCCTCTTCCCTCACATGGTTAGATGGATAGCCTTTGGCTCAGTTTCCATGGCAGCATACACATACCCATCTTTTATCACTGGCAGACATTTGTACAATTAATCTTTTCATATAGGTCTTCCTTACCAGCTCATGAACAACTCGAGTATGACAGCATGTCTTACTCATGTTTGATTATCAGGCCCCAGTCCTGGAGTCATCATGAAGGAGTCATTAATTTTGGATGTTAAACTAATCAACAGGATTGTTAACATAACTTTATTTCTGTTCACAGTCTCCAATAAGTGGTTCCATGAACGAGGACAGGAATTCTTGAGGCCGTGTGGATCAACAGAAGTTGACTGACTTCGTTTTCTGCCCTTCTCCTTCCTGGCCCCACAGCCTATGTCATCCTCAAGTTCAACATGACAGACACCTTTGTATGTTCCAGGCCTTGTCACTTGGATCTTAGTTGGAGTGAATGTTTGTCTGGACCAAAGGGAGAGCCGACTGAGGAGGGTTCTGGGTGACCTGGGTCCCAACCTTTCTGGTTGGCCTGTGCCACCTCTGGCCACAGAGTTTGAGTCAGAGTGGCTACTGCAGAGTCAGGCTGTCTAGCACCTAGCAAGGTGCCTTTGTACCTCAGATGTTTTAGGTGTGAGGTGTTTTAGTGAACCAAAGTTTTGATACCTTGTTTACATATTTGTTTTTATGGCATTTCTATCAATGTGGCTTTAACCAAAAAATAAAATGTCCCTGCCAGAAGCCTTAAAGAGCCTTATTCTGAGTATTTTTTAAGGTGGGTGAGCTTATACCAAGTTCACTATTTCCTGTGCATCTCCTCTGTGTAGGTGGAATCTGGGTAGTGTATACTTGAATGGCAAAACCTTGACCACGGGTTCTAGATATGGTTTCAACACTTACATTTCCAAGCTTCAGTATCCTTTTTGGAAAGTGAGGGAACATAATCTCTCCTTGACTCCCAGAGAACAGAGAAATCATGTGTGTTCATGACTGGCTGTTATAAATTGAAATTTCTTATTTAAAAATTTTGAGATACATACACAGAATTGTTCACAAAACACAGATGTACAGTTTAAAAAATATGAAGGTGAGTGTGAGCACCCAGCTGACCACCACCTGGGTTAGAGAAGAGATCATTTTCAAATCTGCACCTCAGGAGCCCCTTGTGAGCCTGTTCTGGATCAAATCTCCTGTCCTGCTTTCAGTACCTTTGTGGTAACCATTGTCTTGTGGTTTATGGTACTTATTCCTTTGCTTGTCTTTGTAATTTTACTACCTATGTCTACATCCCTAAATAAGTAGTTATTTTTTCCCCCTGATTTTGTACTTTTTGTAAATGGAATCCATGTATTTTTGGGGCTTTTGCCTTCTTTTGACAGTTGTTTTTAGTATTCATGCTGTTGTGTAGCTGTAGTTTGTTTTAATATGTAGAGTTGACTCAGTTTTTTAATGTATATTGTAGAACAGACAGTACATAATATAGCCAATATACTGTTGATAGATATTTGAGAAGGTTTCACTTTGTATACTACGAATAATACTGCCATTTGCATATTTCTACATGATTCCTGGTACACATAAACACATTTGTGCATGCAGAATATGTATCTAGCAGTTGAAGTATGGAATCTTACTAGTTAGTCTTCAGCTTTACCATATAATGTATTCCAGAGTGATCATGCACATTCTCATTAGGAGTGAATGAGAGTTCTTGTTATCCCAGCCTTCTCCGATACCTGGTAATGTCCTACTTGTGCATTTTAGGTAACTTGTTACATGCATAGTATTGTCTATATTAGCATCATTAATGATATTGAACACTTTCTTGTTAGTCCTCATGTTTATGTTTGTTTAAGTCTTTTTCTTACTGATTCACTGGAATTTTTAGTATATTATAGACATAAGTTCTTTGATGCTTATACATTTTGCAAAATATCTTCCTTTTTCTAGTTTGTTGTTTCACTCTTAGTTTTGTCTTCTGATGAAGAGAAGTTCTCAATTTTTACACCACATTTATAAAGCTTTTACTTTTTGATTTATGCTTTTTATATCTTGTTTGAGAAGTTCTTTTGTTCCCCAAAATGATGAAGGTACTTCCTGTATTCTTTTCCAAAATCTTTTATAGCCTTGTCTTTTACATTTATGCCTCTCACATACTTACATTTTATTTTTGTTGGTGCAAGGGTCTTCTTAAAAAGATTCTTTTTTATATTTTGTTAGGATAGAATAGGCTTATGCTACCTACAGTAATAATATAACCTCTCAGTCTCAGTGGCTTAATATATAAAACTGTCTCTCATGCAAAAAAAAATTGCTGGGTTTGGGCGATTGCTACTTATCTAGTGCCATTTAATCTTCTAGTACCTTCCATTGGCAGATCCTAACAGGATGCCAGCTGGTAAGGGAATATGGGAAGTGGAATTTACGGAGTTGCAACTCCAATATAACAGCAGAGTATAGAAAGATTCACTTAGAGGGGCACCTGGGTGGCTCATTTGGTTGAACGTCTAGCTCTTGATCTCAGCTCAGGTCTTGATCTGTCGTCAGGTCATGAGTTCAAGCTTCACATTGGGCTCCATGCTGGGCATGGAGCCTACTTAAAAAAAAAAAAAAAGATTCCCTCAGTGCTGAGAACAGAAAAATTATTGTCATGCTAGGTGTGTTTTTTCCACTGTTTGACATTCTTTGGGCTTCTTGAATGCTTGAATGTGTACAATATTATCTTCAGTCAGTTTCAGAAAGTTATTAAACCATTTTCTCTTTCAATATTTTTTACGTTCCTTTCTGGAACTTGGATTAAAAGTAAATTAGGTTATACCATACTTTTTTTTAGTTCTTAACCTGCTTTCATATATTTTTAAAACTATGCTGTATTTGGGGGTAAATTTTACAACTGTTTTCCAGTTTATTCTGTTTTCTGTTAAATTCATTTACATGTTTTTCTTTAAACAGCTTAAAGATGTGATTCCATTATAGGCATGCTTACACCATTTCTGTTGAAAATTCAGCTGTCTTGTCCTTTTGATGCTCCTTTGAAGGTAATTTCTTCCTCATCCCCTCCCACCTGCTTTTAAAGAGTTTTCTTTGTTAAGGTTTTCAGTAGTTTTACTATGACTTGCCTGGTGTGATTTCTTTTTGTTATTTTCTGGCTTAGAGTTTACAGAGTTTCTTGAATTTGTGGGTCATCTTTAGTTTTGGAAATTTCTCAGTTATTATTCAAGAATTATTTCTGTCTCGTGTGTGTGTGTGTGTGTGTGTGTGTGTGTGTGTTTCCTCTGGGATTCCAATAATCTGAATTATAGAACTTTTCAGTTTAAGCTTTCATACCTCCCATCCTTTTCCCACTTGTGTTTCAGAGTAAATATTTTCTGTTGACCTGTCTTCCAATTCATTTATCTCTTCGGCTAACCTCATCTATTTAGTTAATTTTAGTTCTTAACATTTTTTCGTTCTAGAATGTGTATCCATTCAATTACTTTTAATAGATACTAATTCTCTGGGGAATTTGTCTTTTGTTTTACTCATTTTTTTTGGACTAATGAATCACTTACTTTAAAGTTCTTCTCTGTTAATTCCATGATATAAATTTTCTGTGGATCCTTTTCCTCCTCTTGGTTTCTTATCATTTAGTCCATTCTGTTGGTATGACTGATAATTTTGACTGGATGCTAGACAAATTATAGAGGCTCTGGATGGTGACAACCTGCTACATAATGGATTCATTGTTTTCCTTTTTCTAGGCAGAGTGGGGATTGATCATCTTAATCTAATCAGAGTCTGAGCCAACTTGATTAAGGCTAATTTGCATTTTTGTTTACCTCTGATTTACCTTCATTTTCCCCTCTTATATATTAGTTTTCCAGGGGTTTTCCAATTGAGAGCCCAGAGTGTTCACTGGATCTGTCCCTCTGGCAGTTTTGAAGCTCAATCCTTGTATCTTTAGTATCTAGATATTGCTGCAAATTTTTTTCTTTTCAACGTTTATTTATTTTTGGGACAGAGAGAGACAGAGCATGAATGGGGGAGGGGCAGAGAGAGAAGGAGACACAGAATCGGAAACAGGCTCCAGGCTCTGAGCCATCAGCCCAGAGCCTGACGCGGGGCTCGAAATCACGGACCGCGAGATCGTGACCTGGCTGAAGCCGGACGCTTAACCGACTGCGCCACCCAGGCGCCCCCGAATTTTTTTCTTTTTAGAGGCTTTTTTGCTTCTTAACTTTCCATCCTGCACACCTTCAGAATTCAGAAAATGTCTTACTGAGTTAACAGGCTGAGTGGTTGACTAAACTCTTCATCTCTCCCTTCTATTCAATATTCCAACAAATTACAGTCTAGGTTTGCCTTTCAATACCCCTTAACACTGACAAGACCTCTGATGGTTTCTCTGCCTGTTAGCACCTGCCCATTACTTGGGTCGTTTATCTGTGTTCTCAATCTTTGCCCCATGCCTACAATCAGAACATGATCTAAGGATAAAAGAGGCTATGGACTTTTGGCTCACCGACTTGAGATTCATTCTTCCCTGGGATCTTCATGCTCAAGTCTTTTTTGTTTCAGCAGTCCTTTGATGCCTTAAAACAGATTTTTAGGAGATTTTATCCAGTTTTCATTGTTACATTTGACATGAAAGTTGATCTACCAGATGCTACTCCATCTTAACTGGGAGTGGAAGTCTCTTGTTCTCTTGAGTTTTTAAAATTTGTTTCATGTGAAATAAAACACAGATACAGAAAAACTTGTCTTTGGTATCTTCCTTTGCTATATAGCATAACAAGATGTTCCACATTGCTTTTGAGCATTTCCTGCAGTGAGCATGAAATCAACCGTTAAGGAATCTGTTATGTGTTGGTGCCTACTTATCAATCCCACTGTGGTCTTGGAAACAAATAAAGGATAACATTAGAGACAGGGAACTGTTTTCAGTAATTTTTATTAACCTACTTAGTTTAGCATTAACATGTTCACCATGGCACCAAAGAGTTGGGCGTTTTAGTATGCCCAACTGTTGGGATGTTACAGTCTGGTATTTCAAACTCACAACTTAAAAAAAAATTTTTTTTGTTTTAATGTTTTGTTGTTTTTTTTTTTTTTTTAGGCGGGGGGAGGGGCAGAGAGGAAGAGGGAGACACAGAATCCAAAGCAGGCTCCAGGCTTCGAACTGTCAGCACAGAGCCCAATGCGGGGCTCAGACTCACGAATCATGAGATCATGACCTAGGTGAAGTCGGATGCTTAACCAACTGAGCCACCCAGGTGCCACTAAACTCACAACTTTTAACTAACAAGCTGGAGGTCATAAAGGTTAGGTAAGACACCTGAGGTCCCATGAGATTTCACTGATGC